AGATCCAATTGAGCTATCTCAAGGGTCAGTTACAGGGAGCCATTGATCAATGCAATGCTGAGGAAAAGCTTTGTATTGATTTTACAAAGGAAGTGAACAATATTGAAAACCTCGTGAAATAGAGAAGAAAAAGGAGTGGGAAGATGATATTGCCGCTGCTGCAGAGGCTTCTGAAGAAATTTGGGAGGAAATGCAGAAGAATAAGAGGGTGGTTGGACAATCTTCAAAGTAGTTATCCATAATTGTATCTCTTCTTGTCATCTGATTTTGAGAACTCACTAGGGGAGGGTAACTGCGTTTCTTTTAGTTTTTCAACTTCAAAGGCAACATCTTTTAACTTTGAGCCTGCAGGACAATACCTAAAAACAACACTCTTTCACTACCCAAATTCTTTAAGACATCCCAATTTTAAAAGATGGGATGTTTTAGAGCACTTGGGAAGTGAAAGGGTGTGTTTGTAGGTATTGTTTGTAGCCTCAAAGTTAAAATTTGTTATGTTTGAAGTTGAAAAGGCAGAAAAAATGCAGTTACACTATCGTATTTTAAAAGTAGTAAGTTCTTGAAATATGATGACAATAAGGATATGATTAAAAATTAATGTTTTTTTTATGTATTTTCATATTTTGAAAAATATTAGAAAAACGTAATATATATATATACTTGCTAATAAAATTTTATTTCGTATTAAGGCTTGATTCCTGCCTCAATAAAAACAAATCCTGAAACGCATTTATCATATCATCAATAGAGAAAAACAAATCCTCAAAACGCATATATCATATTTTCTTATAAATAAATTATATCCTCTAATTAGTTGAAAGAATCTAACAAACCTTCTTAAAATTAAAAAACCAAATCCTCAAACACATATATGATATCCTAACACTACTAAAATTACATGAAAAGAAACCCCCTAAAATTAGCCTAAGAAACCCCTTTTGAGGGAGTCTCTAGCTCAGTGGTGTCTTAGACTAAGAAACCACTTTTTTAAAGGGGTTTGTTTGCTCCACTTAAATAACTCCTTTTTTAAAGAAGGGGTTTCTTAAATGCTCCTGAAAATATTCTATACTATTATGTAAGGAACCCCTTTTTTCAAGAAAGAGGGTTTCTTATATTATTCTTAAGAGATCACTTTTCTAAAAAGGGGGTCTCTTTGATTTGTTCGTAATTGAAAAAAAATTATATATTTCAATATAACTATTGAATACATTCTTTGTAATATACGACAGCTATACCACAATATATACAATAACTCTACATTTCACTCCCATTTACTGTATGAATAGAACTTTCACATAACTAATTTACAAGTGGAAATAGAAAAAATTACTTAATTTCATCTATTTAAAGTTAGATACGAAAACAAAATCTTTGACAAAAACAAATTATTTAAAATCTCTAAATAAATTACAATTGTCTCCAAACAAAAATTGATATAATTTCATTAGATTCTTTGCGTTCCTTCGTTGAATTTTACGGTAATTTCCACCTACAAAACACACAAAATTCACCAAAATAATAAATCAAAAGTTACAAAAGCAAAAATAAATAAACAGCCGAACATCAAACTAATTGATAAAAGGAAAAAAAAATTGAAATGGAATATCAGAAATAAAATTTAAACGGAGTAGCGAAGTAGTATGTACAATTAAGAAAATAAAAATAAAAATTAAATTTAAAACTAAAACAATCTAAAAAAATCACAAATTATGAACAACTATAAGCGCAAATTATAAGTAATTCGAATCTAAAAAATACAAAGAAAAAACTAAAAGCGCAAATTATGAATAGATCTGATGGAAAATACAATTAAAATCAAACTAAAACGAAAACCAAACATAAAAATAAATTAAAAAAATAAAACCATTTCCTAAAAAATGAAATAGAGTGGCCATTTAATAAAAAAAAAGGATCTAAAAAATTTATTAAGAGAAAAAAAAATGAAAGTAATATATAAAACCAATTTTTTACACATTGATAGCATTTACCTTTGAGTGCTCTCTTGAATTCTAAACCGAAGAGATCGAGAAAACTCAAGATTTGGGCGCTTGAATAGAGAGTAAAGAACGGAGGATTCAATGGAGAAAAAAATAGAGTTTGATTAGAGAGGAGAAAAAGAGAGAAAGAGATGTGTTAACTTAGAGAGATAAAGAGGAGAAAAATAAAAGGGGGGAGGCGGTTGGTATCATATGGGTGATATAGAAGAATTGCTAGGGTTAGAGATAAAAGGGGAGCTTATTTTTTTATTCTTTTTTCAGATTAATTTATTAGTATGTAAGAAACCCCTTCTCATAAGAAGTGATTCCTTATATTGTAATAAATTTATAGAAATAAATAAGGAACCATTTTTCCTTGGAAGGGGTTTCTTATTTGCAAGTATAAGAGACTTCTTATTTGAGAAAATAGGTTTCTTTTATTAAGAAACCCCTTATCAAATAATTGTGGTTCCTTATCATTGGTTCCTTATCCATGATTTGTAGTAGTGTAAATCGAGAAAAATAAAACCTCAAAACCTTATATCATATACTTTGAGAAAATTAAACAAACCTACCTCAATTTAAAATCAATAAAAACAAATCATGAAACGCATATATCATATCCTCAATAGAGAAAAACAAATCCTCAAACCGCATATACCATATTTTTTATAAATAAATTATATCCTATGATTAATTAAATGGAAGAATCTAACAAACCTTCTTCAAATTGAAAAACCAAATCCTCAAACACATATATGATATCCTAAATCGAGAAAAGAAAAACCTCAAACCCTTATATCATATCCTCTGAGAAAATTAAACAAACCTAGCTCAATTTAAAATCAATAAAAACAAATCCTGAAACGCATATATCATATCCTTAATCGAGAAAAACAAATCCTCAAACCGCATATATCATATCCTCTTATACATAAATTATATACTTTGATTATTGAATATCCTCAAACACATATATTATATCCTCAATAGAGTTAAACAAATCCTCAGAGCTTTATATCATATCCTCTAATAAACTTAAATGAATCTACCTTAACTTACAAATCATTGAAAACAAATCTTGAAACACATATTACATATCCTCAATTAAGAAAACCAAATCCTCACACATATGTATCATATCATATTATGGATACACTGTATCATTTAAATCAGTTTTACAAACCTACCTCAACTTAAAAAAAAAAGCGCGGGTTTTAAGCCAGACCAAAACAAGCTTGTGGGCTTATATATATTAAAATAAACCTAGGTTTTCACGTCGATACTCATTTTTGTTCAAAAAATCAAGAGAAAAGTGAAATAACGATGGAAAAAAACTCAGCAAATTATCAACAAAATGAATCAAATGATCAACAAAATGCAAAAAAAAAAAAAAAAAAAAAAATCAACACAATGAATCAATTTCACCGAATTTTTCTGCATCAACGTAAAAAAATTATAGAAGCTCGATTGAACAAAATGAAGCAAATGCACCGGAAATTCAATCAAATGCTAAACAAGCACAGAATGATCATGAAAAAGTATAAATTTCTCCTAATGAATCTACTGTAACATCTGAAAAAATAGGTATTTTGATCTAAATTTTTTGCTTCATTTGAAAATAGTATATTATAACGTTTATATGCATCTAAAATATATGTATTTTATCTAAGAACAAAAAAATTTAGGTAAAAAATAGAGCATTTTACATACAACAGATCATATAATTTATAATAGAATAGATGATATCATCTTGAATATATATGATATACGTTTGATATCTTCCATAGAATAAATAATAACTTCAATACTACTTTTGATATCCTCCATACGATACATGATAACCTCAATAATAATAATGATATCATAAATCCCTAGAGACTATGTCATAGAATAAAATAGAGGATGTCATCCATAGAAATAGAGATTATAATGCATAGGATAGAGGATATAATGCATAGAATAGAGGGTATCATAGATAGAATAGAGGATATAATGCATAGAATATAGGATATAATACATAGAATAGAGGATATCATAAATAGAATAGAGGATGTCATTCACATAAATTGAGGATATAATGCGTAAAATAGAGGATATCATCAATTGCATATAGGATATCATTAATATTAAATATTCTCTATAACTTATTAAATATTTTTTCAAATTGCAGATTTGGAATATTTTAAATATGATAATGATGAAAACATTAAGTTATCTTTGATGGGAAGACTTGTTGATGATCGTGAGGATGCATTGCGTTTGTACAAAGCTCATTCAAGAGCAATTGAGTCAGTGTAAGAAAAAAAATACTCTTAGGCGACATAAAACAGATGGAATAGGATCTAATTTTTATTTTTGCTGCTTAAAAGAGGGTTATACGGTACAGAGAAAGAAAAAAGAAAAGGAGATAGAAAATTCAGAATTCATAACTGAGAAAAAAGAGCCATTAAAGTAGAGAAAAGTAAGGTGTGTTAATGAGACTAGAACTGGTTGTAAGGCTAATATAAGATTCAAGAGGAAAGAATCTGGAGAGTATTGTATTAGTCAACACAATATAAAACATAATCATGATTTGGTTAACCCTTCAGAAAGACATCACTTGAAATCTGAAAGAAATGTAAAAGAAGAGATGGGATGGGTGATTGAAAAGATGGTGGAAAGTGGAATTAAACCAATGGACTACTATGAGTTTCTTAAAAGAGAAGTAGGATTAGAGAAAGATTTAGGACACACAAAGAGAGATCTATTAAACTATGTAACTAGGTATAAATCTAAGATAATTAAAGTATGCAAAGTGTACTAGACACACTACAAGAGAGGGCATCAGATTCTTCTTTCTTTTAAAGATTAAAGTTTGGTGAAAATGATCATATAGTAAGTTATTTTTGGCGTGATTCAATGATTTTGGAAGATTTTAAAGCATTATGAGATGTAATAATATTTGATACCACATATAGAACCAACAGATAAGGTTTAATATGTGCACCATTTGCTGGAGTAAACAATCATTGGAGAATAACAATGTTTGGATGTGCTTTTATTACAAATAAAACTACAGAAACTTTCGAATGGGTACTTGAAACTTTCAAAAAGTCTATGGCTGGAGCAAAACCAAAGACAATTTTCACTGATCAAGATCAAGCGATGAGCAATGTAATTGCAAAGGTAAGTAATACTTTTTAGTTAAATTATAGTATTTTAATTTCAATGGTTAATATCAGATAACAAAAAGAATGGAGTATATCATCCAATAGAAAATGATATCCTCAAAAAACTAGATGATATCCTCCAAAGACTGGATGATATCCTCCAAAGACTAGATGATATCCTCCAAAAACTGGATGATATCCTTTTAAGGCTGTATGGTATCCTCTAAAGTAAATATTATAACCTCAGACATTCATACCATATAATTTATTATTATAAATTCACATTTTATAAATAAATTTTTTAGGTTTTACCAAATTCAAGACATAGGTTGTGTTTGTGGCATCTCCAAAAAAAATTTGTATCAAGATTTGGCCAGCTAAAAAGCAATGAAGATTTCAAGAACATGTTTGACAAATGCTTATATGGCTATGATGATGAGAAAGAATTTGATGATTGTTGGAATGATATGATTCAAAAGTATGGATTAGAAGAGAAAGAGTGGTTTGATAGACTGTATGAATTAAGACATAAATGGTGTCCTGTGTTTAGCAAAGACATATTATGTGCTGGAATTTTGTCGTCCCAAAGATCTGAAATTACAAATAGAGCAATATCATTAAAAGCCAACAAAAAAAATTCATTGTATGAATTCTTTCATATATTTGAAGCTACATTACAAAGGTGGAGAAGCAATGAAAAGGCAGATAACTTTAAACGTAAAACAAAAAAGCCAAAGACAAAATGCAAACTCTTGAAACAGGCTGCTGAAATTACACTCTGAACATTTTTAAAGACTTTGAAGAGGAATATGACACAAGTATGAGATCGTATATTTGAGATGTGTCTAATGAAATGACAGTTGGCCTAAAGATGTTTGAAGTGTCTTTGGATGAAGAGTTCAAACACAGCCATAATGTGTTTTACAGTGATAGTCTGAAGGAATTTGCTTGTTCCTGCTTATGTTTCAATGAAACGGATATATTTGTTATCATATACTTAGGGTATGCATATGCATAATGTGTTCATCATTCCTCCAAGATAGATTATGAAAAGATGGAAAAAAGCTGCAAAATCTTCAATTTGGGAAGACAGAGAAGGTATGTATAATACAATATATATAATTTTAAAGTTAGTAAAAAATATTTAATATGCTTACTTAAATGTTACATATTGTATTTAAAATTTTTCAGGAAGTGTGCAAGAAGTTGCAAGAGAAAATACAATGCTAGACACTCCATGGAGACACACTATAGCAAGAAATTTTTACAATTTAATATGCATTTCTCAAACAAACACTGATGCTAAAAAAGTGTGTGATGAGTCTCTTGACAAGATGTATCAGGTAGTGAAGAAAGCGTTTCAATCTAATGAGGAGAAGATTAAGGAAATTAATAAAGAAGAGGAACGAAGAAAAACAGTACTTGATCCTTTACGACCAAAAACCAAAGGAAGGCAACCTGGAAGAAACAAGAGAATTAGAGGTCACTTCGAGAAGAGAAAGACAGCTACTGGACATGCTAATGAATTTGGAACAAAAACTCCAAATCCATAACTAATTTAAATTTGTTTGGCAGAATATTTCTGTTACATTTTATAGACTATGTGACTTGACAATTATATTATCATCTTTCCTCTATCACATTATTAATATCATATATACTACAAAATATATTAGCAGTGATCAATTACATATCCTCTATCGTAATTTTGATATCATAAGTCCATAAGAAACATATCCTGTATCGTATTTATGATATATTAAGTTCATATGAAACATATCCTGTATCGTCTATTTCATATCATAAATCCAAAAGAAACATATACTCTTAAATCACTCACACATCCTCAAAAGTATAAATGATATCCTCTAAGGAATATATAATATCCTCAATTAATAAAACATATCCTATATCTCTTTACTAATAACCTCTTAAAATCACTCTAATTAGTTATTAATTGACTATTAAATCAGTAAGACACCCTCAAACAAAAAAAATTATATCCTCAAACGAATATGTAATATCCTCAGTTAAGAAAAAATCCTCAACCAAAAAATAGAATATGACCCTATATAACAAAAACAATCATATCATCTTTTAAGTAAATGATATCCTCAGACAACTTAAACATATCCTCCATGTATAAAATATGTAATATAATTACAAATTAAAATATCTATCCATATATATATATATATATATATCGATATATTACATATACAAAAAAACCTATAATAGAATTGAAAAAAATAATATATATATATATAAAGCTATAATCAAAAATTTTCATCTGGCTTTGATTCTTCTTTATGCTATAAAGTAAGTTTAGCGGCTAAAGCCCTTGTTTCTCTTTCTAATTTGGCTTGTTCAGCATAAAAAATTTCTTCCTCTTTCTTCCTAATTTTCTGCTGTGCAAGAAGTTGCCTTTTCTTTTAACAAAAACTTGCACAATCCATTCGAATAACATCAACATGGGGGTTTTTAGGGTGAAGCACCAAGTCCAATGCCAGCTTACACCTAAAAACCTTCCTATTAACTTTCTGTAAAAGATAAAGGAAAAATGAATATTTTAAGTTAAAAAAATAAATTTATGTAGATAAAATAATATATTACCGAATTTAATTATGATAGAGTTTCATCGCTGCCACCATTATAAAGCTCCATAGCTTTGATTGCATACAAACCAATTTTCAGCTTCTTTTGTTGACCTCCATTTGAAATTAAGATACTTATTCTCACCCCATGTACAAAGATTAAATAAAATTTTATGTTTAAAAATTTTCCCACCAGCTTCATGTACGGAATCAATCTACATGAAAAATTAGATATTAAGTTAATAATAGAAATAAAACAAGATAAAATATAAAAAAAATAAAAAAAAAAATAACTTACCAACATATTGTCTATATTTTTATATCTTATAATTTTATCCCTTCGGTTATCAATGATCTCAACTGCAGGTCTTCTTTTCTCATTTCCAATTGTATTAACCATAATATTTGCATACTGATTGTGCTTATGAACAGGAAAAAATATCTAAAAAACATTATAGGATATCATTAACGCAAAAGAGGAAATCATCAATCCACATGAAGGATATCATGAAAGCAATAGAGGAAATCTTGAATACTGTAGGGATTTTTCAAACTCAACTTTGAGCCCCACTGTGATCATATTTTTAAGCATGGTGGCGTCCAAAGGGAAGGAAGATAGAGATAAAAGAGTCACCAACAAGTTTTAGGAACTTGTAAACCGTTCACGGATGTGAAGGTTACACCCTATTCACGATCACGGAGATCGCTAACTCCATAGTGGTCCGAAACCATGATTGGATATTCGGGGATGATGGTACGAATCCAACCTAAAAGAGATTGAACTCACCCTAAATCGACCTCTACTTAATTCTTATGATATTCATGTGCGCTTTCCGATCAACATACATACATCAAATTAATCCTAAGCATATTTAATCTACGTTGGTTGGTTATTAATGCACAATCAAATCTACTATTGATGATCACTTGAATTAAAATCATATTTGCCTAATACAAATTATCAAATATCTTATTAGGCGTGATTCAAAGTACAAATTCCCTTTAAACATGCAAGAAGGGGCATGATCAAGAAATAACAATAAATCATGAATGATCAAGCAATGTATAATTGACACAACAAAGCTAACAAGTCTTCATAATCAAAATCATCAAAACATCATTAGTAGCAAGATCCTAGGCATGATACTGAATGGATTATTAGCAAATCCTAGCATGTCACTAATAAAGATCAAAGCTTTAACCTAAACATGATACTAGAAAGCATAATATTAGAAATATTAGTTAACACCCTAACATGATACTAGGAATCAAAATCAAGATCCTAACATGATACTAGAAATCAAAATAATATCCTAAGCATGATTTCTACTCCAAAAGAACAATCGAATTACTTACTTTGATGCCTCGTTATCTCTTTCTATCAAAAGAATACACACGTTAGTAATTTCAAGAAAGATTAAATCAAATAAATAAATCAAATAAGAATTGAAATATAGATTTGGGACCAAACCCTCAGAACAATCAACCTTTCACGTCGAGGTCGAAGGTAACTTCGAGATTGGCTAAGAGTATTCGAAACTCGTGAAGGAGGTATGGTGTTTGCTTGGGAAAAGTATCAAGGATGTGTATTAGGACGTGTTTAAGCTAGGCTAAGAAAAGTATCAAGAGAGAGAGAGAGAAAGTATTAGAGAAGGGATTAGATGATGATTGTTGGTATTGATCAAGCTTGTTGATGATTGAAAACGGGGAGAAACAATCTCTATTTATAAGGAAAAAAGAGGGTCGAAGGGTAAAAAAAAAGAGTCAGAATCCAACTCGGAGTAAAACGCTTCTCATCGCGGCGCGACAGGTCCATCGCGACGCGATAGACCCGATAGTGTTGTCGCTCAGCGACGGTTTTGGAAAGATAGGATTCGTACGGAATCCGATTTCCAATCGGATTGGGTTAATCAAATTTTTGTACGTATTCTAATTTAGCCGGGATTAGGATCATTGAAAAGCAGATGTTTTATCTGATGTAAAATTCTTAAATCTTTATCTTTTCGAAAACAGGATAAATTAGAAGCTTCTAGAGGATTCTAGAAGCTCACAATAAATCCTAATGGATTTAGGATTGAAAACAACCTTCTAGATAATTCTAGAAGCTTGTAAAAAATCCTAATTGGTTTATGAATGAGGTAAAGGTTAATGAACCCTCCACATGATCATTGGGCCGCAGGTAAGACTTTGTTTGGGCTCGGTTTAGTATTTTGGCCTTAACTTTTTCGTTATAAGTTGGATTTGGGCTTATAATATATCGTTGGAAAGCTATTTTCAAAACCCATACAACTAGACAATAATTGGACCAGAATTATGGACCAAAATAGACTGGTTTGAACGTTTTTATAGAGGACATGAAATGAATGATTTTCAAAGACACAAAATAAATGATTTTGGATTAAAACATTTAAGGAAAGGTTAGAAATGGTCAAGGATAAAGGGAAACTCACAAGACTCTTCACCTAACTTGATAATTAAAGACATGATAGGTACTCATCACTGGGTTTGGTTTTTGGGAAGACATAATCAGGTATCTATAGAAGCCCCCACTTTGACTGAGTTTAGAGAAAGATAAGTTTCGAAAACAAAAGTCAAAGTAAGTCGATAGGGACGGAGAATGATTCAGAACGTTTTGCGATCCTAAATCATTCTTTTTAACACCGATACTTGCAGAAAGCGTTAATTCTACAAATAAAGGAGTTAAGAAACACATATCTTGCACCGTCGGGTACACGTCTCGGCGTAACATCAATTTGCTGAATCAAATTTGCTTTGCTTGAAAAACTCCACATCTTAGGGAGTGCTAGAAGATCGCGGTGCTTCGCCATCTTCAAATTCAAGTGACAACCTCCACATGTTAGGGAATGTCATCGAAGATCGTAGTGCTTAACCATCTTCAAATCAAAGTGACAACCTCCACATCTTAGGGAATGTTGTCGAAGATTGCAGTGCTTAGCCATCTTCAAGTCAAAGAAAGACAACCTTCACATCTTAGGGAATGTTGTTGAAGATCTGTTTAGCCATCTTCAAATCTTCTCGTCTTCACTCTTGGAAGTGGTATCTTCTCCATCTTTGGAAAGTCTACCGTAAAAACCTCATCTCTCAAGGTCTTACCGAGCTTCAAATTGATTTCCATAGAAATCTTCCATCTTAGGAGTTCTTTGTGATTATGCTTAATCAATTTTCTC